AACAGTCCTCCTCTACAAGAGGAGCAGGAGCAACAGTCCTCCTCTACCATGAACCAAACAACACTGAGCGGGTCTGACCAGAGAGCAGTAAAGGCACAGGTTCAGACGTCCATCATCATCTGTTAGGATCATTTATTATTATTCTTTCAATAACTCATTAAATAAATGGCCACACAGGAGAGTAGATCTTTTCTTAATCCCAGGTTTTAATCTTACAAGATGGAGCAGTGTTGAAATACAAGCATCAAAATGTTACATGACGCTCCGTCCCACGTCTGCTCACCGACACCGATAGCCTAAAAGAGTCTTTTTATATGTTATCAGACAAAGACAAGGTCAGACGACCCCCGACAACTCTTCAACACACACACATGGTAACACATAACACACGGTAACACACGGTAATCAATCAATCAATCAATCAATCAATCAATCAATCAATCAATCAACCTTTATTTCTACAGGTAAATCCCATTGAGCCTCGAGGACTCTTTTACAAGAGAGACCTGATTTTAACAAAGAAAGATGACAACAATGGACAACAGCAACAACAATAAGCAGTTATAAAAAGTCATACTACAGGTTTTATTATTTTTTTATTTTTTAACAAATAGGATGGCTAAAAGGAAAAGGTAACAAAACAAAAAAACAGCTAGATTCCAAGACAAATGTATAAAACTAAAAACAGGAACATGTCTGCATTGGACCCTGCCAGGAGTCCCAACAGATTCTTAAAGACACTTAGAGAGGTCAAAGGTCGAGAGCTTCAGATCTTTTTACAAGATATTCCAGGAAACAGGAGCGGAATAGGAGAAGGTCCTTTTGCCTAGTTCAGTCCTCACTGAGGGAACACTGCAGGTAATGATGTCCTGAGAGCGCACGCTGTAGCTGCACTCACACAGAGACATGTAGGAGGAGATGTATGAAGGCAGCAGACCAGGAAGTGATTTAAAGATGAAAATGTACCAGTGAGAGAGTCTGCGTGAAGTTAATGGTGACCAGTTAACCAGTGAATACTGGGTGCAGTGGTGGGTACGATAATCACAGCCAGTTATGAATCTTAGTGCACCGTGATAGACAGCATCCAACATCTGCAGCATCCAACATCTGCAGCATCCAACATCTGCAGCATCCAACATCTGCAGCATCCAACATCTGCAGCATCCAACATCTGCAGGGTTCTTGTAGGAGCGTTCATGTAAATAATGTCACCGTGATCAATGGAGGGAAGGAAAGTCACAGATACAAGGTGTTTCCTAACATTCAGAGTTAGACAGGATCTGTTTCTGAAAAAGAAACCCAGTTTAACTTTCAGTTTCTTTACCAAGTTTTCCACGTGGAGCTTAAAAGAGAGATGTGAGTCGACCAAGATACACAAATATTTATAGGAATCAACAAACTCAATGGGGACACCATTTGAGGATAAAATCAGTGGAAGAACTGCTGGGACCAACTTCCTGTTTGAAAAAAGCATCCCTTTGGTTTTATCAGTGTTTAGGACAAGTTTGAGGTGAAACAAATCAGTCTGGATGATGTTGAATGCAGATTTCAAAAGCTGGAAAGCCTTAGCAACAGTTTTAGCTCAACAATAAACAACTGTCATCAGTTGTTTATTGTCGAGCTAAAACTAACACGTGGTAACACATGGTAACACGTGGTAACACATGTTAGCACATAACACACAATAACACGTGGTAACACATGGTAACACGTGGTAACACATGGTAACACGTGGTAACACATGTTAGCACATAACACACAATAACACGTGGTAACACAACACATGGTAACATGTAACACATGATAACACGTGATAACACACGGTAACACATAACACGTGATAACACGTGGTAACACATGATAACACACGGTAACACGTGGTAACACGTGGTAACATGAGTTATAACATTTGACTTGAGTAAGTGAAAAACATTTGTGACATGTCACATCTCCGTCACCATCCATCCATCATCCAGTCATATATCCATCCACCCATGCATCCTTCATTGTTCCATCCCTCATCCATCTACCCATCATTCTTCCATCCATCCATCCATCCATCCATCCTCTGGTTCTGGACTCAGGTCTCAGGAGCAGCAGTTTTATCAGGGAGGTCCAGCCTCCTCTCACAGCTCTTCTGGGCAGACTCCAAGATGTTCTCAGACGAGCCAGTCCACAGAGTCTCCAGGGTGTCCTGGGTTTTCCTTGGAGTTCTCCTCCCAGTTGCACAGGCACCTCCCTAGGGAGGTGTTCAGGGAGCATCCTTACCAATTGCCTGAAACACCTCAGCTGGCTCCTTTGGATGTGAAGGAGCAGCGGACTTGTTCTAGAGCCCAGCTGTGTCTAGTCAGTACCTCTCAATCTCACGTGCACGCTCAGGCTCCTCCCAACTAAAGTTGCATTCGGGCCCAAAACATTTGATCCGACCCGGCCCCAACCCAGCCATCATTTCCGAACCCCACCCAACCCTTCGAATTAACAGTAATGACAGGTCCAAAGTCAACCCCCCCCCCCCCCCCCGGCATTTTTAATTAAGTTTTGACTGATTATTTAGTTATTAACGGTGGGTGGACGTGCACGGCTGAATCAAAGGGGCAGAAGATCGGAGCTGAGGGGTGTTTGTCCTTTCATGGCTGTCAGAGCTCATTAAATCCTCCTTCTGCATGATTCACACACGGGCCCCGCTCTGACATGTCGGTAGTTTTTGATCTCACCTGTTTAGGTCGTCGGCTGCGCGCGCCCGCTGAGTGCAGCGGCTGAACGTCCATGTGGGCGATGGATCACTTCCTGGCAGTACAGTCCATCTGAAGCTGAACTGAACTGTTCACCTCTGTCAGGGCCAGTCAGCTCAGCTGCATGTATGGCAGGCCATGTTATCATATAATTGGATCGCAGCTGATCCACTGGCACAATGAAAAGTCCGACCCGGCCCGCCCATCCAGCATATTACTATGGCCCGGCCCAAATTCGGGGTGGGTCGGGCCGGGCCCGAAGCCTGGGCTAGAAATGACCGCTCTACTCCCCACTAGAGAGGTGGCGTTCCACGTCCTGAGAGCTTTGGTGAGCCAGGGTCAGAGCCCTGAGGCCCCCTCCTCTGACTCCTGCCCATGGCTCCATGTACCTGACCCTCATGGCCCCTCCTGCAGGGGGTGGGCCCACATCAAGGCAAACTCATTTGGGCTGAGCCTGACCGAGCCCCAGGGCTAGAGTCCAGGTCACTAGGCATGTGCCGATAAGCCCCTCCCCCAGGCCTGGCTCCAGGGTGCTGATCTCTGTCCTCACACGTTAGAAGGCTGTCACCAGGACCAGTGTGCCTCGGCAGGCCTCGACAGCAGAGCTCCATCCAGACCCCTCCTCCTCCGACAGCAGAGCTCCATCCAGACC